GTGGAAAGTGGAAACCATGATACATTTTTTTATTCAGGATTCTTTGATAAAAGGAAAGTTCAAAAGAACAACATTTATTTAAAATAGTAATATTTTGTAACAAAATAAATGTCTTTACTGTCACTTTTGAGCTATTTAATGCATCCTAGCTGAATAGAAGTATTAATTTCTTAATATATAAATATTGCTATTATATGTGAAAGAATTAGAATTAAAATAGAAATGCATGCATATAATACCTCATCCCGGGACCATTTAATTTTGCACAGGGTCTTTTTGGAATTCTTGGGGTCTCTGCTGTCAGGGTCCGTAGAATGACGTTCATCATCCTCATCTTCACTGCAGCCATAAAACACAAACAAAGAATACAGAAAAGGAAGAGTCAAACACAGTTTTCTGTTTGGTCTAATTGGACAAACATTGTCTCACAGAAGCCATTACTCTCAAACGGTCTGTCTGACACAAACCGTTGAGCAGACAAGCATGATCACTCATCTGTAGATACAAGATGCAAACAGTTTAGAAAAGCAGCCAGCTCGTTAAACAGGACATGCCTGAGTGTAATTACTCTGCAAGCTGGCAATACAAGCTACAAAATTGAATTCAAGCATTATTCAAATTATTCCAGTGCATTAGTTTGCATTTTAATTTATTTGAATATTATTTTTTCCATTATCCAAAAACACACACAAAAAACACATTCAAGTCATGTCCACACAAGTAAATTAAAGTGACAATCACTTTGCCCAAGACTTCAGTCTGTAGGAATGCCTTGTTGCCTGGTAACATTTCACCAATGCAGTGAGGTAGACAGTATTTAATCAACACCATGCACTGGGTAGTTAAGTCTCCCTGGGATACTGGAGCACAAACTTAATGGAAAACCATTTATCCGATGCTAATAGTGACTATCAACATAAACCAAGCTCAAGCCTTATTTGCTGCAGTGCTGAAAGATTTTCTAAAAGAGCAAGGAAGGAAGTCCAATCATTAAAGAAATATGCAACAGCACATTCTACCAGAATGCCTTGCTGCAAAGTCTAAAGTTATGAGGAAATGTGTTTAGGTGCATTTTTAGGCCGAAGTCCAACTTTGACTAAAGCGGTACAAATATGGAAGTCCAAAATCCTTCTTGCTGCCAGTTGCTGCATGTTTATCATTGAAACATTGGCTCTCAGTATTACAAGCCACCCGATGAATGAAGTGTTTCATTTAAGAAACATGCTTTAGTATGATCTCCACCCTCAAGGAAGGGGTGAGGTGATGAACAAGCCTGTTTTGCTTCAGAGGTGATTTGCTTGCATCATTCAGTCAGGAGGCAGGCCAAAGTAATGCCCGGCTAATGGGCAAACAGGATCTGGACAAACTACAATCCTAGTCCGTCAGATTAAGGCCTGCATCTGGTCTCCCTTTTGAAATTACATTCAGCTATCTCCCATCAATATGTGACACATAAATTTACCAACCCCCAATTTAATAGCAACAAAGAGAGGACAGGGGAGAGTACACACACACACACACACACAAACATGTTGGGTTTCCATGTTTTATGGGGTCTTTCCATAGACATAATTATTTTTATACTGTACAAACTGCATATTCTATCCTCTAACACTGAGCCTACCCCAAACATAATTCTCACAGAAAACGAAAACGGAAAAAAAAAATCATAATTTAGTATGATTTATAAGGGCCTTTCCTAATGGGGGCTGAAAAAAATTTCACCATAAGGTCAAAATTTTCAGGTATTACTATAGTGAATAATACCAGGGCCACACACACATGAAAATCTCCATTCATCCATAAATACCATCCTGTTTTTTTACGTACAACAACTAAGCTGTATGTCACCTTCCTTTATAAACTTCATCATTTGGAAAATCTGACTAGACGTGAATAAACGCTTGTGTGCCAAACATTACGCACAAGATGAATATACTCCTTTATTACAACTCTAATTCACATTAATATAAAGTCTAATACTTATTGTTTACCTCTAAATACGCAAATATGTTTGATAAATTTTGTATATTAATTAATAATATATTATATATTCATTTCTAATGACTATATTATATAGGAAATGCTTTCCCTCCTTAATCCCTCCAAATCAGGCTGAATTATAGGCTTTATACCTAGATATTTATTTGAGTGTAAATGTATAACAAATGTGTATATTTATACAAAGAATAAGATTCAACTGATTATATATTCACGATATGCTTTAATATCCTATGTTAAACATAAATGTTGATGGTCTAATAATGTAGTTATTATGAAACGACCTATAAAGGCAGCAGGACGCAACTGTCATCTAATACCATAATCCACTTGCACTTTCTCTTATTTTTTTTTAGTGATCACTATCACATGTAGATAAATGTAAAACTTTTTTATTACATTTTTTTTTTTTTATTAATTTTCGGACCAATTTTACTTCAGATATTATGAAATAGCAGGTTAGCATGCTAGTTCACTTCAGCTGTACTGTTCGATAGGGAACAGCTAGGCTAACCGCTAGCATTCAGGCTAACACAATAAACTAAACTTAAATATTTGAAACGGTTTGATAAATGACATTTGTCATGAGGAAACATGTTTGCATATATAGCAATAAAAAATATGTTTTTTAAACGCTTGAGTCAGTCTTTGAATCATGATCAACCTTGTGGATCAGCAGGTGCAATATGTGATGCGTCACAGGGATCGGAATGTCATATCATGTTAAATATCACCATTTATTAACATCTTAGATGATACTGTGTAATTAAATATTTAAGTATTGTTATTTTGAGCTTTACGGTTGCCATAGCGATTTCTGTTGCGACACAAATAACTCATCTTGGAAACTCCAGATATAAACAATCTAACGTATACGATCTCCCGATGTTTTGCAAGTTGGGCATCAACATAAGATCTGTACATTTGCACACAATCCATAACATAACAATTATTATACTTATTTTAATTAATTTTGACTAAGTTTACAAGGCACTGAATAAGATTCATCATCTCACCTGCGAGACTTCATATTGGCCATGACAACTGTGTTCAAGTCCAGTTCGTTTCAAAGGGAAATGTCTTTAAAACATCCAATGCAATTCTTCTTGAAATCAAAACACACAGCTGACATTTATCCACACATGCTAATGTCACACATGTATCTGTCTTCCGTGAAAAGCTTCAGATCCGTACAGTCACATCCCCGAGAGCAATTTTACAATAAATATGACAAAACGAAAAACGTCCTTCCACAATGCTTGTTATTAAATAATAAAAGCCAAAAAAGAATGCCTTGCTCCAATGCGATCTCAAAATGGTGAAGGTAAAACATCCATTAATATAACTCTGTGTTAGTCTTGCGCGCCTTGAACGCACACACACCCCTCTGTACTGTCACTCTGTACTGTGTTCTTCTCAGCGTGTGCGTTTTTTCCACTCATTCTTTTCATTTTTTTGTCCATCCCGCCGAATCTCGCGCCCAGCCTTCTTCCGGAAACGGGTTTGAAATCTGCGCACGCGGCCTCGCCGCTGATTGGTTGAAAAAGGTGGGCGGAGCAGCGCGCTCTTGTTGTTGAGCAGCAACTGGTCTGTGTCACTCGCTGACGCCTTTTTATTTGCATGCAGCTAGTGGTAGTGTGAGATTACTTTACCGCTTAACCTTATTATGTTTAAATAATTCAGTTGAAGGTATTTTGTAGTGAAGAATTTTTTTTTTTTTGGCAGGTTCTGGATATTGTAATTTACAGCACTGCGAAGTAAAAATATTCTTATTGAACGTATCGCAGAGCTTTCTAATTATGTAAGTCCATGCTGCCCTCTTGCGGATATTTTGTGATTTTTTTTTTGTCTTTGGAAAATTAAACATGAGTATATCAGTTTTGTTTGACATAAAATGTATTTGTTAAAAACAAACAGACAAATTATTTACAATTTAACACATTTTAATAAACGTTTGCCTGCAGTGTTACATATTTCCTACATGCTTTGCTATTTTAGTCATGATGAATTGCACTTTCAACAGACATACTGTATATTGTGTGTGTGTGACCCTGGACCACAAAACCAGTCATAAAGGACATTTTTTTTTGTTTGACATAAGATTTGAGATTTATACATCATTGAGATTGAGATTTATACATCATCTGAAAGCTTAATAAATAAGCTTTCCATTGATGTATGGTTAGGATAGGACAATATTTGGCTGATATACAACTATTTGAAAATATGGAATCTGAGGGTGCAAAAAAAAATCTAAATATTGAGAAAATCGTCATGAATATGACTAATCAAAAATTCAGTTTTGATATATTTACGGTAGGAAATTTACAAAATATCTTATATATATAAGAATATATAAATATATATATATATTTAATATATATATATTTAATATAGTATATTAGTATAATATCCTACATGCCTTTCTATTTTAGTCATAATTGTACTCCAGCATATTATATAAAAATTTTGAATATAATATTATATATAGTTGTCACAACAGAACCTAAAACAGTAAAACAAATATGAAACAAATATAAATAATATAAAATGTGACTGATAGTATTCGTGACAGTTCTGCCGCTAGATGGTGCTGTTGTTTATGTTCCTTTACAACATTATTATTCCTCGTCCCCCGCGTTTAGTCGCGTGGGAGGTTGAAGATGGGCGGTGTGGAGATTGCAACTCGCCATAAAACTAAGAAGAAGAAGAAGAAGAAGTTTAGTCGCGTGACTGATTGTTTCGGAACTTCGGAACAAAAGTCAGTGTGTCTTTATTTCATCGGCTGCTCATTGGTAACATGATGAATGTTGTCTTTTCAGTTAAGCTGGATCAATATTTAGTTCCCAGACACGCCGAGTTTGATTTTTGAATCGTTGCACTTCCTTTGCCTCCCGACACGTCACTGGAGCCAGTTGGATGGAAAGAGTGAGAAAATAATAAGGCAAGTTGTGTCTTTAGTCTCTTTGAACAATCTGAAGCACGCGAGTGACTCTAGAAGTACGTCGGTGGTTGTAGTAAGTTTTGGCTGTAACAGGTCCATTCTCTGCAATAGTACTACACAATGTACATTACGTAATAAAATTATTTATTTATTTAAAACAGCCTAGCCCAATGCCAGAAATACAGGGCTCTACAAAAAAAGAAACAAATGTCAGCCACTGTCAAAAGGAATTTGCTTTGGTTGGTTTCAGTTTACAGTAGGCTACTGTTTCTTACCTTCGGAAAATGTAGTTGTAAGAAAATTCTTATTTACACCATATGGCCATCAGGATTTAGAAAATGTAGTGTATTTTTTTTCAGTCATTCATGTCATTTGAATGAGTTGTGCAACAGCAGTGCTAATATTTTTTTTTAGCTAAATTTATAAATGATATTATAAATAATATCACAAGAGCATATTGTTCTTGTTAAGAGATACAGACCAATAATCTGTTTGTCACTATTTTATTTAATCAGTTATTGTTTTTCAATATCAGCTGCTAATATTAAGCACCCAACAGCTATTATGTTTTTGTTTTGTTTTTTTGTAGTCACATTATTTAGTTATTTTATTAAATAGAAATAATGATACAATAAATGAAAACAATCCTGCATTATTGGACACTTAAGATAATATATACTGTTAAACAATATGTTGTTCAACATGTAATTATGTATTATTATTATATTAGATTGAATTGATTTGCATATATGTTCCTACACCGTTTTCACAAAAAAAGCAGTGAGATTTAAATGAGAGAAATGTCATGTAATAGTTGCTTATTGGGAAATTAAATTATGAATCTTACTTGGGCTGTCATTTAGTGTCCATGAGCAATAGCCTACACAATGTTGACAGTTGAACTAAAAATTATATGACCAACAAGTGAAATATTCACCAAGCCTTCCGTTAGAATTTTTTATTGGAAGTTAAACTGTTATAAAGAGAAACATTTACAGTTGGTTCCTTTTTTTAGATTTATCTCTTTCTAACAGTAGGATTACTCTAAATGCGAGATGAAACCAGAGAGTTTCAAAGGTGAACCTGTACTTATGCATTTTTTGCACAGCATGAATCTAGATTTTAATGTGTGACGTGCCTGTGCAAGTTTATACCTGTTCCTTTGTACTTTCTTTTTGCTGCTCAAATCTGTTTGAGTGTTTGAGTTGTTGTTATAGGATGAGGTCATATAACAGTAACCTTTTGACAGCTCCAATGTAGTGATGACATTAACTAAGTTTCTTAAAATTGCATAATAATGAGCCTGGATCTGTTCTATTTTGTTTTCCATATATTATTTTGTTCATTTGAAATATGCCCTTTAGAGTGATCTTTCATTTCTCATGTCATGCATAAGGAACCCGGCTTCTTGTTTCAGTTTAAAGGTGAAGTGGCTCTCTTACTTGGCTCTGACACTGGAACAGACATTTATATGAATGTGTGCTATGCTTCCTGGTGGCTGTTTTTAGATGAACAATACATGAGACATCTTGTCTGCAGGTAAATCATTAGGGCTGGGCAGAACAGTGAATTAATTTACATATTTAAACCAGTACCTACATATGCATGCACGCACATGCACATTTAAATATGCATGTGTGGTTTCAGAAGTAGTCCATTAAATCATTAAACTCTCCAAGTTTTTGAATAGTTGACCACGCAGGCAAATAAACCTGTAACATTCCTCCAAGTTCGCAGGAATGTAGAAATACAGATCGCAGTGATATGGTAAACGGTGTCTGCAACTGCTTCAGTCTGTTATCTCATCTGCCCACATTTAGTTTGTATTTCATGTCACGCAATACAAGAGTAACACCGGAGGGTTTAAAATAATCTCACTGCTTGTTTTAAAAAATTAGTATTGTATTATGTATAAAGACGTCTATTATTCTATAAAATTGTTTGTTTTTCTTTCTGTATTGTTTTGGCGCTCACTATTTTGATGAGGTTGGTGCATTTAAATCCAGCATTTCTTTACATTCTAAATTATTATGAATTATTTATTTATCATTAATCACATTTTTGGAACATAATAAATCTTTTCATTGTTTTTGCAAAATACCAGAATTTCTGTTAGACAGTTAGAAGGCATTGGAGGTTTCTGCAAGGCCAAGTCAGTATACTTTTGAAAATTATATATAATAAATAAATAATTAAAATATTAATTAAATTAATATTAAATACTATATATAATTACAGTATTATTTACTTAATTTAAAAAAATTCTGTTTCTACTTTCTACCTTATATATACATATATGTATATTATATATTAAATGTATATATTTATAATGTACATATTTATAAAAGTATATGTAAGGTTAAAATATAAACCTCAGAACCCCCAGGAAAATATAAATCTTTCTAATATTATATTTTTTGACCTGGCATTAAAGTAATATTGTTGCTGAAAATGCTGATTTTTTTCAATCAATATACAGAAGAATGTCCTTATTTCATGCTTGAACAACGATTCAAAATGCAGATACACTGTAAAAAATAAATGCGTAAAATAACAGAAAAAGTACTGGCAGCTCATTACACACAATATTATCCATTAATTTTACGGACATTTCTGTTAACTCTAAAACACAATGCAATGAAATGTAAAATTCAAAATACTTGTAAAACACCTGTAAAAAATTAATACGGAAAAATTCCTTCAAATTATACATTATATTGTGCTCTATTTTACAGATTTTTTCAGTGTAGTTTTATATCATAAGCTGGTCTTGAGAGGTTCCTCCTGGCCTTTAAATCTGCATCTTGTAGGTTCAGTGCAGCATTATCTAAAAATACCTCGTGTACCTCAGAGGGGAAGGGGAATGTCGCCCACCCAGTGAGCATTCATGTGTTGTGCTTGACAGAGGGAGTATGTGGAAGTGGCATATGAAAGAAAAACGTCCCCGTTTGCTCCCTCCCAGCTGGAGAGAAGCAGAGGGGAGGATGAAAGAGAGTGAGGAAAAGAGAGGTGGAGACTCATCGCTTGGCCGCCCAGACTGAGGCTCCTCTCTGTGTTTATGCCACAGTTGATTAGTGACTCTGAGTGGCCTTCCTGTCCTGAGGCCCAAAGAGCCCTCTGGAGCTAAAGTGGATGCTGGACACTGCTGAAAAGAGCGCTTGGCTGTGGTAGAACATCTCACTTATGTTTTGGTACGTTTGTGTTCTGTGCAGGACTAATGGAGAGTTACCATCAGAATCAGGTGTGCCAGAGTGGCAGGGAAGCGATCTGAGGACCTGTTGCATCTATGAGCCGTTGCTTGTGAGATTCTGAGAGGTCTCAGGATGGAGGAGCAACCAAGCTGCCTCAATGTCAGCATTCCCTGCACCAATGAGCAGAGAGACAAGAAGAAACGCTATACTGTGAGTGACCTCTGATGCTCTTATCTACATTTTGAGAGCTCTGGCTCGCTAAGTTGTAGCACCGGATATGTGACTGTTTTAATCCTTGTCTTGTTAGGTTTACAAAGTAATTGTCAGTGTTGGAAGGCATGAGTGGTTTGTGTTCCGGAGATATGCAGAATTCGACAGACTGTACAACACCGTAAGTAAACTGAGTTGTAGTCAATGTGAAAAGACAGGCAGACTCCACTGTAACTATGATTTGTTTACAGCTATTTTTAAGTGACATTGATTTTGGTTTGGAGCTTTTTTCTAATGAAATATTCACATATGACCAAATAATGTAAAGTATAAAACTGATAATCTTTGTATATTCAAAAAGGAATATGCTTTTATGCTCACCAAGGCTGCATTTATTTAATCAGAAATACAGTAATATTATTAAAATGTTAAATAATTTTAAAAAATCAGTTTGAATATATTTTAAAATGTAATTTATTCCTGTGATGGCAAAGCTGAATTTTCAGCAGCCATTACTCCAGCTTTCAGAGTCACATGATCTTTTGTAAATCATCCTAACATGCTGATTTGCTGCTAAATAAAGATTTCTTATTATTATCAAAGTTGAAAACACTTGCCCTGCCTAATATTTTAGTGGACGCTTTTTACAGGATTTTTTCATGAATAGAAAGTTCAAAGGAACAACATTAATTTGAAATACAAATCTTTTGTAAAATAATGTCTTTACTGTCACTTTTGATCAATTTAATGCATCCTTGCTAAATAAAAGTATTCATTTCTTTAAACAAATCGTACTGACCCTAGAGACCTTTGATAATAATGTGTCTTTTTGCAGTTAAAAAAACTGTTTCCTGCTCTGAATTTGAAGATTCCTGCTAAGAGAATATTTGGAGACAACTTTGACCCAGGTATTTTACAGTTCCTTGATTTCTCGTGAAATAAAATGCATATTGTTCAGAGCTCACTGGAACTTGTCATCTCGTGCACATACATTAGTGACTTCGCTTCATTTAGCTTAACAGAGATCATGTGTATTTGCCAAATTAGATTATCCAACAGTGTTCCATACAGAAAATCAACCATGCTAAATCCGCCCTGCCCCGAGCCCATAAAATCTTTGTCCTTGTATAATCTCATGTTATGCTCTCAGACAATGTGGCAGCAAAATTGTGTGCATAAATAAAAGAATGAGAATGCGCACCCAAGAACCAATTGTATTTAGCTCATGTGCGACCAATTATGTGGCCAGTATGTGGTCAAGATCTTTTTCATGGAGAAACCATGAGTCTGGTCATTGGACGCACATGCAAAATTTGTGCACTTGTTGTAACGTATTCTCCACCATTGGTAAGATTCTCTCTCTCTTTCTGCTCTCTTTCCCCCTCATTCTCTCTAGATAATTGCTGTCTCGCTGGACAATAGCAATCTAATTATTTGGTGCACATTTTTACAGTAGTGTCCCATGCTGCACTGAGAGACTTAGGCTAATGGTTTTGATAAGTGACTGATGAAATTAGTTATTTCCCAAAGGAGGTGATGGTCATTGTGAGTAGTTCTCAAAAATGGCTCTCAGGTCTGTTCTGGTCATGGGCAGCATGATATATCAGCCATATCAGATGCTTACATAAGCACTTTGGATGAACCACAATGTATATTTTTTTCGTAAATGTCACTTGCTGGAAGTTCCAAATTAGGCAAATGCCAGTTTGGACAGGTTGCTTGACTTCTGAAAAAACCCTGCATACTTAAAAAATCATCCAGACTACATCAAATATGAGTTTGCTTGCAATGAGGATAAACAGAGTTTGTGTTTACCACAAAGTGTTTAGTGCAATGAATTATTGGCTACCAAAAGCATGAAACCAAAATTCAAGATGCTTTTTGAAACCAAAATTGTACGTTATCTAATATAGCCCGTGTCATGGTAACAATTTTGGCCAGTGCAGTTCATAATAATATTAAATTAAAAGTATGTACATTAAAAGTGTAGTGTCGTCTGTCTCACTACTTGATGAACTTAAATTCAGGCAAAATCGGCTGAGGACCACTACTATGCAAATTTACTTTTTTTTTTTCTTAAGCTAATTTGCACCTATATATTTTGTGTAATTCTTAGAGTTCATAAAACACAGAAGAGCGGGGTTACATGAGTTTATTCAGAAGATTGTGTCCCATCCACAGCTCTGCAACTAGTGAGTATATCAGCCAGTTACTGTTGCTTCGGTTTTTTATCACCACTCACAGTGTCAGTGCATCTAAATGTATGTCAAATTTGAGTGGGATTTACAATGGAAACCTGCCAAAACCAGCCACAACCAGATATCTCTCTGAACTTTGAGTACAAAGCGGTTCGATTGTATCTTGTGAACCTGTGCCAAATAAAAGATGCTTCTTTTTGATTCTCTGTAAAATTTGCCATGGTTACGGTTCTTGTTACAGGGAGTTGTTGATGTTATCTCATATTCCTCCTCACAGCTGTGGCTTTGTATTGCCTCAGTCAGACCTCTAACATGTGAATGTTCATTTCAAATGCGCAGTCCGGATGTCAAAGACTTTCTGCAGATGGACAAATCTAAAAACTTCTCTGATGCCTCAGAGGATGAAGATGATAAGGTTGGTATATGTACTAATGTTATGTTTTTAATATATAACATATTGAGTAAGTGGTCTTCATTCTTTTCTTTTGTCTTGCTTGTTAGCTGTATTCACAGGCATTAAGTGTTATATAGTTATATTTTAAGCATTTTAACACTCTACAGTTATTGATAAATTCAGTGCATTATGTATAGTTTTTTTTTTTAATGGAAAATCCTTTCTAAGGACCCAGTAATCTCTATTATGCATCTTTTTTTCTGTTTTTCTGTATGCAATTATATTGTTGTACTGTCCAGATACAAATAAACTCAAAATAAATAAATACTAAGTGCATGTTTTACTACTGCTTTTAAATGAGTATTATCTAGTTTTGCCATATCTCTTACAGAGTACCTCTACCTCGAGAAATATAAACCTAGGGCCATCTGCAAATCCACAGTAAGTATTACAGAATTGTTTTAAACAATGTATTGCTTTTGTATAATGATAAATATTGTATTTATGTCATAATTTGGATGCAAAACATTTAACTGGTAGAAATTAATGATCCATATGCTTTCATTTTAGCCTTAATCACTGTGTTTTTTCAACAGTGCTAAGCCCACTGACTTTGACTTTCTTAAAGTCATAGGAAAGGGAAGCTTTGGGAAGGTAAGTTTTCTTTTTAAATAAAATGCCTAATGATGGAAATGATCTGAAATGTGTGACTTCCACAGTTTGTGAGAGAAAGTGGGTCAATCCCTTTTGTGTTCATTTTGAATCAGTTACTGAAAGCTCTGAATGTCACTGAGGCTTAATATATTCTCTGTTTTCTTTGCTGTACGGTTAGCCATAGCGTTTGTTTCTGAGCCATGGACTCTCCATTTAGGAAGTGAAAGTTTCTCAGTTTTGAAGTCAAAGCTTGTCTTTTTTTATGCCCATGGGCAGCCGTATTGGAAGGTGAAACTTGCTAACCCACCGTGTTCTTTCCCACACAAAGGTTCTTCTTGCAAAGAGGAAACGGGATGGGAAGTGTTACGCCATCAAAGTCTTGCAAAAAAAGGTCATTTTAAACAGGAGAGAGGTAATGATTTTCTTTGTTTTAATACCTACTCTTTCTTTATGCTCGCTCTGTTATGTTCTTTGACATTTGATTAATGAATTCCCTTGACATTTTTTTTCACGCCAGCAAAAGCACATTATGGCTGAACGTAATGTGTTGCTAAAGAATGTTAAACACCCCTTCCTGGTTGGACTGCACTATTCCTTTCAGACAACAGACAAGTTATACTTTGTCCTGGATTTTGTCAATGGTGGAGAAGTGAGTATTTGTGGTTGAGAAGCTCAAGGCTGACATCTGCCTTATCACATCTCAAAAGCCACTATTTGGCAGATTAAACCAATACGTTATAAATATAGCTATTGCTGATGCTGACAGTGACATTTGTCATTTTATGACTTCTTAAAGGGACAGTGTACCCAAAAATGAAAGTTCTGTCATCATTTACTCATCCTCATTTTGTTCCAAACCTGTATGACTGCCCTTTTTTGTGGAACACAGAAGAAAGATATTTTGAAGAATGTTTTTATTTGTACAGTGAAAGTCAGTGGGGATCTCATTGACTTACATGTTGTATACCACCCAAAACATAAAGTCATAGAGTTTTAACAGACATAAAATTATGTAAATGATGACAGAACACTTTTTTTGGTGAACTATTCCTTTAACAAGGAAATGCAGGGGATTGTCATGTGACATGTAAATCAGATGATGAAGCCAGTGCATGACTGTTCCTAATTTATGGTCATTTTATTGGCATTTTGCAGGGTTCCTATTCACAAGCTCAGTTAGACCACTGGTCTGACTTCCTGTTTTTAGCTAAAAGTCTGCTGACGATATTTTAAACATCAGCTAATGAAACACCACACCAATAATTGTGAGGCAGGCTACAAAATAGACATGATGTAATGGGTAACCTGACTATTTTCTGCATTTATGCATTGAATATTACAACTTTTGATTCTTTCCATTACAGCTTTTCTTTCACCTCCAAAAAGAGCGGACCTTTCCTGAACCCAGAGCGAAGTTTTACATTGCTGAGATGGCAAGTGCTCTGGGTTACTTACACTCTCTTACCATTGTTTACAGGTAAATGCAGCTTAACTAAAGGATCACTTGTGTTATAAATACGCCTGTTTGGTGATTCTAGGATGATGTTTAACTGTTAAAGTGTCTGAGAATTCCCAGAGGCAGTGGAATGTTTAACAGACACATTCTACACCTCCTCCCTCCTATGGGTTTCCAGTTGCTGCCCAGAACGTATTTGAACAATTTTGATTGGTGAACTGGCTTAACTGTAGTCATTTAAAATTACACTCACGTGTGAAATGACCATCATGAGAGCATAGTTTGCATTCATAGGGTGTAACGCTATATGACCGCAAGGAATTGCTCTTCATCTGAATTAAATGCATTATGAATAGTTTGTCTTGTCATATTATAATACCTATAATTAATTGTTACGATTTTTTTGTGTAAAGTTCTGTGTAATGTTTTTTAGTTGAATTGTTCCTGGAAACATATGACAAAATGCTAACAAGCTAAGTTTTCTTATGTTCCCAGGGATTTGAAACCAGAAAATATCCTGCTGGACTCTCAAGTAAGTGCCCCTCTTTTTTTTCCCACACTTTTATCATTGCCAGAGCATAGCTGATCAACGTTGAGAGAGTTCCAGGGGAAACAGAGTAATCTACCCTCGCTGTGAAGTATAACAAACTCTTCTGATTTCCCGAGACGAGGTGTACAGAGTGTAGCTTTGGCCAGCCAAATGAAATATTGCAATGAAACTGAAGACTTTTTTAAATTTGTAACATTGCTTGAGATTAGTTTAAGTTTTATTTGTGCATTTCCTTTCGAATCTGATGAAACTGTGAGGTTACAAGGCCCTGGCAAATATTCCAGTCAGACACAAGATTCTTTGGCTCTGTGAAGAATAGGCCTTTTGTGTGGTGACATGCTTCCTGAAAATGTTCCTGTTGGCATCTTTTGTCTGTTAAGGGACATATAGTCTTGACTGACTTTGGACTGTGTAAGGAGGGCATCTCCCAAGCAGACACAACGACCACATTTTGTGGGACACCTGAGGTATTATATAATATAATTATGATGGATGAATGATGCTTACGGTACAGTTCAAAATTTGGAGTCAGTATGATTTTTTTAAATGGGAAATCAATACTGTTATTCAATAAGAACACATTAAATTGATCATTAAAGACTTAATGATCTGTTATTTTGTTCTCGTTCAAATAATTCGGGAAAAATGGATCACAGTTTCCATAAAAAGTTTAAGCAGTACAACTGTTTTCAAAAATAATTATAATAATTGCTACGTGTACTGCATTAAGCTAAGTGAGACAGCACTTGCATATCATTGCTCTTTTGTTGATTTTGATTGCTTGCATTGTCCTCATTTGTAAGTCGCTTTGGATAAAAGCGTCTGCTAAATGACTAAATGTAAATGTAATAAGAAATGTTTCTTGAGCACCAAATCAGGATATTAGAATGATTTCTGAAGGATCATGTGGCACTGAAGACTGGAGTAATGATGCTGAAAATTCAGCTTTGCCATCACAGAAATAAATTACATTTTAAAATAGATTTAAATGGAAAACAGTTATTTAAAATTGTAGTAATACTTCACAATATTGCAGTTTTACTGTATTTTTTATCAAATAAATGCAGCCTTGGTGAACATAAGAGACATAAAACGAAAAACAAAATCTTACCAACCCCAAACTTTTGTGTATTGCATGTTTTCAATTTTATGTTTGAAAAGTGTTTAACATATTACTTTGAAATGTTATAGTAAATATGTTCTGTTTAATTAGTTGTTGAATTTAAAAATAACTACTTATCGTGACTCTTATTATTAAAGCTGCAGTCCGTAAGTTTTGCCTCTTTGTCGCCATCTCTGTTTGAAAACCTGCAATTGCAGCTGTGTGCAGAATTATCTTCCTTGCGTGGGTTGTGTGGCGGCACGGCTCCAGCGCGGATGAATCTAATGTTTTGGAGTATGCGTGGCAGTCAGTCACCGGCCGCACCGGTGTGGATATTGTGCTTTGCACTCACAGATTCTAGCCTACGTCTTGGAATTTATGACTCAAATAAGCATTTTCACCGGATATTGTCATCTGAACAAGTAAGAAACAAGTCTGCCACGTTTGTTCTGACCAACTGAGGAAAAAAGCATCACAATAAATCGCGCTACCAATGGTGATTTATTCTAAATTAGCTCATATCACATACATTATTATAAGCTGACCGTTGTGAATCGGGCTAAAGTAAGGCGATAGTTTCGAACACTGGCTGGTTATGTACTTGCTCAAATATTGATTTCGGATCATTTTTAACCAAAAAAAGTTACGGACTGCAGCTTTAAATTGTTACCGATTTGCTCATTACGCTTTCCTAGATTAACCTCAATACATTTTCAGCAAATTAACTGCAAATAAACGTTAAGCTTTTGGAGGTTAGAATAAAACAAAGATTTTAACGCAATAATTGCTGTCTCTTGTTGTCACGATAGTATCTAGCTCCAGAGGTACTCCGGAAACTACCCTATGATAACACTGTGGACTGGTGGTGTCTGGGTTCTGTGCTGTATGAAATGCTTTATGGGCTGGTAAGTTACAAATCAACCGTAAATTTGGGTAGTTGTCTTTGAAAAATGTAGGCAATGAAGCTTAAATCTTGATTTACCTTTATGTCAACAGCCTCCATTCTACAGCAGGGACACACATGAGATGTATGACAACATTCTTCACAAGGAACTTGTCATGCGCCCCGGGGCATCCACAGCTGCCTGGTCCATCCTTCAGGCCCTGCTGGAGAAAGACCACACCAGGAGGCTTGGCTACAGAGATGACTTTGTAAGCTATTTAGTACTGATATATCACCCCCTGGTGGATGATTTTGTAGAATATTTCAGTAGCATCTCAAAAGGATTTCTGCAGATTAGTTTCCTATAATATATTACATTCAAGCAGGGAGTGTTGAATTGAAAATATCTTGGAATATTGAAAAGTCCTTGTATGTTCCATTTGTTGCAGAATGAAGTCAAAGGACATGAATTTTTCTCAACAATTAACTGGGATGACCTTGAACAGAAAAAGCTTCCTCCTCCATTCAACCCTAGTGTGGTAAGACTTAGTTCAACCATAAATGAAAAGTTTCTGAAAATATACTCACCCTCAGGAAATCCAAGATATAGTTTAGTTTGTTTCTTCATCGGAACAGATTTGGGGAAATTTTGCATTACATCACTTCCTCACCAATGGATCCTCTGAATGAGTGCCGTCAGAATGAGTCTAAACAGCTGACAGAAACATCACAATGATCTAAAGTAATCCACATGACTCCAGTCCATCAGTTAATGTCTTGTGAAGTGAAAAGCTGTGCATTTGTAAGAAAGAAATCCATCAAGACCTTTTTAACTTCAAACCTAAAAATATGTGTCTATCCATAATATTGTTTTCTCCAGTGAAGACGTCGTCTCTTCTAAATTAGGGGAGAACTATACACAGATCATGCACCATTTAGTAAATGAAAATAGCCCAAAACTGTTCTAAATGTCACTAGATTTTGATGTGAGAGGACAACAGTGGATGGATTTTTTTAGCGTTATTTTGGTCTCATATTTTAGCCAGAAGTGTCAGTTTAATGTTAAAATGCCTTAATGATGGATTTGTTTCTTAGAAACACGCAGCTTTTCACTCCACAAGACATTAACTAATGGACTGAAGACATTTATTTGTGGATTAATATGCTGTTATTATCAGCTGTTTGGATTCTCATTCTGACGGCACCCATTCACTGCCGAGAATCCATTGGTGAGTAATGCTAAATTTCTCTAAATCTGTTCCGATTAAAAAACAAACTCATTTGTGATGTTTTCAGCAAATTTTCATTTTTGGGTAAACTATCCCTTTAACAATAACTATTTTGCTAATGTTTCAAAAAACATATGCATAAGTATATTCAAACAGTCATCTCTCTTATGTTGTCTTGCAGGAATCCCAGTATGACATCTCAAACTTTGATCCTGAGTTCACAGAGGAAACCGTGCCAAACTCTGTGTGCTTCTCTTCAGGGCAGTCAATCGTCAATGCTAGTGTTATGGAAGCTGATGATGCCTTCCTGGGATTTTCTTACGCTCCGCCGTCAGAAGATTCTTTCCTGTAAGGGTGGTGCTGCTAATGGCGATCCACAGAGAGCTGAATGAAACGTCTGTGATCGCTCTCTGATGAAAGGGAAGAATTTGTTGAGCGCAATGTCACGATCAGAGGGTGGACCTTTGTGTTTCCTAACATAAGTTTTGGGATGCAGGGTGTTTCAAACTTTATTTTTATGCATAAATAACATTATATTTTGTGTAACATTGAACGCCTTCCCTGAGAGTTTAGCTCAGGAGCTGAAGTATTGATGTTTTTTTGTTTTTTTTGTAAGAATTATTTTCAAGGGCTGATGATATTTGTAAACAAAATATCTACTTTGACACATTCCTTGTTTTGCCCCAACTCTTACACTTGATTGCTTAAATACTATGCAGTATATGATCAATTATGTTCTTGTAGTTTAGTCTCTTATCAGCAATTAGCTATGGAAAAAATGTTCATATAATGTCAACGCAAGCAATAAAAAAATTGCTGATTGACAAATTAATATATATTCCATTTATACTGTTTAATATGTATGAGTTAGAAAATAGGCAGAAGCTGTTTCGAAATCAATTGTTTTGAAATCAAAATAAATTTTGATAAGCCCTGTAAGGGTTTGGGTCATCAACAGCCAAAGTACAATGTGAATTAAATATTTGTGGCTATTTTCGTGTTAGATTTTAATGAGTTAATAGCACTTAAATACTGACAATGACCCTGTAATAAACCACTGTTTCATTTCCCGCATTTTGATTATGAGACGAGACACCACAGTGCCTACTGACTTATGATACTGTACTGTACAAGTAAACATTCTTGAATTACTTGGCTGTCGCGTGATGCATCTCATTTGCATATATTTGCATGTGTTATGCTACTGGGCCAGAGCTTCGCGCCCAGTTACCAAGCTGTGAAAGTAAATTTTATAGAACAATATGATAATAATGTTTTTAAATAGATGTGGTGCGTTACCAAACTCACTGAATAATAAAATGTTTGTTCACAGGACACATCTCATTTGCATATATTATGAGCACGAGCTTCCCGCCCATATGTGTGTTATCCTTATTAAAGAAGGAGATAATAAAATGTAAATATTTGTCGTGTGGGTTACCTAAACTAATTGAATTCTGCACCGCCTTAAAGTTTTTATTTACAGGTTTTAGACGCCTTGTTGGAGGTTAACACATTCCACTTTGCTCTGATTTGGCTAACACGTGATACATCTCATTTGCATATTGTATAGCGCGAGCTTCCCGCCGCCCAACTACAGATCTAGCGGTGCATTTCGGAGATATGGATGGGCTAAATTCTCTAAAAGAAGCAATAATCATTTATTTAGACAGAAGTGGTGGGTTAAGTAAACTCATTGAAGACTGTAAAGTCTTTAAAGGTTTGTTTATGAAGTTGGATGCATTATTAGTTAATTAGTTAGTTAATTAAAATACCTCAGTGAACAGGAGCTCGTGAGGACGTGACACGTCAGGGGTCCACTGTCTACATCCGTTTTTATCTGAACTTTAATTATTACATTTAAATTAAAATAAAAAGATGACTTGATTGTTTACACACTGAACAAAAGGGAAACATGTCTTTCAGGTGGACAACAGACGGGGGCCGTGTATCGGTTCAGTTTCGATGTAAATCCCTCAGACGTGCTTGAACTGGACGCCACACTGGGAGACTGTATACTGCACGACCCTGTCAAAGCCGTTTCACTCTTTCAGTCAGTGAGTTTCACAAATAAAAATACACAAATACCCAACTTATTAGTCCGTTACACAACGATTGGTTATCTAAAATGGCTTAGAGTACATTTACATATCAACCAGAGTTTTCTGTTGGTGAAATGTATGGAAAGGTTAAAAAGGGATATATTTTATTGTGCTTAACATATTTACATCTACTCTGTATTGAAACAAACAACTAAGAGTGCAGTGGTTATTTTTCAGGTTTGTTATCTGTCTATAAAAACACTGTCACTTATTGACCACATTGAAACAGAAAACCAGGTAAGGAGCAGGTTAATTAATTGCAGATTTCACTTATTTTAATTTTTTCATATATGTGTGTGTGAGAGAGAGAATATATTTGGGTATACTTGAAATTTGCTTTGATACACATCAGTATATTAAAATAGAAAAAACATAATTTAATTTTTTTCTGTATAGGTTAATGTTGTTTTAAAGCCAACCCACTTGCCACCTTTTCCCAACTATTGTTTGGATCTCTCCGAGTTTCCCCGTGGGTATGGTCCAATGAGACCCTTAGCTTTGGAGGGCCTTGTAATTGCCATGACACGTGTCACCAAATACACACAAGGAGCCAGATTTCTCTGCTCAGAAGAGAAATGCCCTTGCTCTAAAGGTAGGTAATGTTATTAACTTTATGGGCTGTTTTTGTAATTGTTGTCCTACACAATTTGTCAATTTGTCCAAAGGGTTTCAACATATCAGAGTTCATGCACCAGGTGCCACAGAGTCTGCCACAGTTAGGAGCGATTTTACCTGCTTTCTCTGCTCTTCTCCGCTGAAAGAGGATGTGAAGTCTCGGGTTTTAGGGGGTAAGACAACAACATTAGTTAAAACATATTAATGAAATATTATATGGAGTATAAACCTGAATCATGAAATGATTATTTTTAAAAGACTTAATACTTTCATTCAGCAAGGATGCCTTAAATTGATCAAAGTTGACTATCAACATTATGTTATTATAATGTCAACAATTACAAATATTTGAATAACAGTTTCCACCAAAAAAAAAAAAGATTACTCACAGAAATAATTTCATATAATATTTAATTACATAAAATGTTTCAATAGACAACATTTTAATTGTAACAATAGTTTTTATTGTATTTTGGTCAAATAAGACTTCTTTCAAAGACAATAAAAAAATTTACTGACCCGAAACCTTTGCTTAGTATTGCAGTTGCGCACTCACTAAAAGACAGGACATGTTTTTTAATCCACAGATAAACAGCTAGTTGAACTCATTCATGTGAGAGCAGTGGATGTTTTGGGAGTTCACGATGCTGCTTCCTTAAGATATCAATCTGTCACCCTTTTTCTAAGAGGTAAATGCTTTTTGCATCTTAAATTACCCCTTTTTCTTTCTCGTGGTATTGCAAATAATCTTTATTTTTTAACTAACCATTAGGAAATAATTCAGTTAGTTTGAATCGTCATGCCTGATGAACATGTTTTTCATAATGTTGGAGCAAAGCTCTCAAATAAATAAACTGCCGAAACACATCCACTCACAGTGTCTTTCAGTATTAGACTGGGTGTTCCTGTCTCCTTCAAAAATATTTCTCAGTTAGCCAACTGGAGAAACCACAGATTATCTGGACGGTATTAGCATATTGTGTTGACCTAGTATTAGTCTGGAATTCAATACGTCGGGCTCCAGTTACTGAACATACATGTTAATAAATGTAAGGTACACTCATTAGTTGCTACAAACCATAGTGGAATCATTGTTTAAAAGAGCCTGCAGTGTTTCTCTTGGCAGTTGTGTAGGTGGTGAACGTTTCTCAAATAATAAGTGAAGACTTGCTCTCAACTATCATTGTTTTGTTTCTCTTAATGTAATTAGATGAACTGTGCAACTCCATGAGAATCGGCCATCTGTACCAAGTTGTGGGGATTCCAGCTCATGTGCACCAGTGGCCCAATGTAACCTGGAGCGTAGAGGCTTGCAGCGTCCAACCATGGACCCCCAAATGTAAAGCCTTGTTTTGACTTTGATGGTATAAAAACAACCAGACTTATGCACAGCATGTCAAAGTCATTTGCTTCTGACTGCCTTTCACAGGCCCCTGTCTGGTTAGCAACAACTTCCAGAACCTTCAGACAGCCATGGCCTGTTCCCCATGGAGGTTTGCTGCCATTGTAGCCAACTCATTCGGTTCCCCGGTGATCCCACCTGGACTCTACAACACATTAAAACTGGGGCTACTTCTTAGTTTGGTGCAAACTGAAGATAATCCAGACTCTCCCTACCAACTGGATGTGCTTGCTCTCACCAGCGAGACTCTAATCATTGACAGGTCCGGGTTTTTCAAATGCACATGTCTCTTTAGATAATGGTCATCAAAATATTATGCATATTATGTGCATATTTATTCACAGGTTGATGAGATACAGCCTGCCGTTGGCCTCGCGTGGCATTCATCATACACTGACAGGAGATCTGTCGGCATCTCTGTCTAGAGATGAACATGGAGCTGGTACCGCTAACATCCATGCAGGTTCAGCTTTGCTGGCATCTGGAGGTGTCTGTCTGTTGGGAGATCTCACAACCTACAAGAAAGACAAGATGGACATGCTTCAGTCTGGTGCCAGTTGTTTAAATTATTTCTAATAATGAAGGCACAAGAAAGAAATACATTATACATGCATTTTAAGCAATCAAGGAAAGCAAACCTATTTTTCCCCTCAGCTCTCGAAAGCAGAACTGTGTCTGTTTTCATTCCTGCCAAGAAATATGGTGATGATATGGACCAGCAGCTCTCCTTCCCAATCCAGTGCAACTTTTGGGCCCTAGCTGATTCTGCTTCCCCCTCCAAGAGGACAGCCAGATGTGATAATGTGGTGCTGGGTTCTGTGGTGGGTTCATATCCAACTGTATTTATAGTCAAATGGAGCTTTTCCTCAGGAAATGAGATGGGAATGTTATTCTGGGAATTTTACAAGCTTATAGCACATACCACAGGACTGATCAGTTGTAGAAAGAATGCAGGAATGCTTCACAGACGACCCCACCTCTTTCTGTATTTGGGAACAGGAACCAGAGACAATGCCATCTATTTTAGGAGAGTTCCTCATTGTACTCATTTGTGTCAGTAGCCAAATCGCTCCCGTTACTCCAAATTGTCTAAACAATGACTTAGTGTTATTTTATAGTACAGTGTCAGTGCTTCAATATAGACGTCATAGTTTTGCAGCATCTGCTTATCTTACAGTGATTTAGATTTTTATATAAATGCAGGAAATGGGCTCAGTTCCTCTTCAGCTTGCAGAGTCGTTTGGACTCGTAGTCCAGTGTCGAGAGACAAGCAGCAATCATCCACTCCTGTCTATGACAGTGCATACTCTGAGACAGGCCATGTCCCCAGGAGAGCCCCTATATCCAGCATGCATGCAGTTTACAACACAAGACTATAAAGAGGTCAGTCAATGCACACTACAGGTCAAAAGTTCTTTAATTCAGCTCAAATTATTCTGACTACGTGCTCAGGAAACATTTGTCTTACAATATTTACTTCCTTTATGAAGGATCATGTCACAACTATTTTAACTGTAATGATATTTCACAATAATACTGTTTTTACTGCATTTTTGATCAAATAAACAGCCTTTGTGAGCATAAAATACTTTTTTAAAACACAAAAGCTTAATCCAAACTTTTTACCAGTAGTATATAATAAACTGTAATTGGGGTGCTGTTTCTTTGGTTGTTTGAAAATTCTAGAGATCTTGAGTAACTTACATAATGTGGTTAGTAATGAAGATAGCCTGCTTCCCCCCCCCCCAAACTTGAATATTTTTTCCCCAGCTCTTGGCTCATGCAAGGGAACTAAAGGTGGACATGAGTTCCGAGGCTGAAAGGATGATCCACAGCTACTACATGGCCAGTCGCAGGGTTCGCTCAGACTCAACACAGAGATCCACCGTTTCAGTCACTTCTGTCAAACTGCTGTAAGCTCTTCAAAAACAAAATACTGACCGCTACATATGGCTGCCTTATTATACCACTAGATGGAGCAGTTATATAACAAGTCTACAATTCAGCAGAGTTTCCAAAGGACTGTGAACAAATTTTGTGTAAAAAATATTTACATTACCATGTCAGTTTATTTAGAGATACACGGTCTCTTCCAAAACTGTAATATTTAGCTAAGGAACAGGCAACTGGTAGAAAAAAAAAAAATTTGTAAATTGCATTACATAAGCCTCTTCGGTTATGGAGATGAAGCACACCATACAAGTAGAAATATGACCATTTCATACACATGACATTTTCTGGTTCTGACAGGATTGCTCTGGCCCAGGCTCATGCTAAACTCAGTCTAAGAACACAAGTTCTAGAGGAAGATGCAGTCATTGCAGTTCTGCTGTGCGAAAGTTCAGTCACCCTAAAACATGGTTAGTCCCCCCCATATTTGTCTAAATTCTGAACAAATGAATACAAGATAGGAAATGTTTCAATAAGAATTTATTTCAATATGTACATTATCATAACCCATTCACCTTTTAGCACTTCATTACTAGTTTATAGTTAGGATCAAGCTCCTGTTTCAGTGAGCGCATGTTTCTGAGTTTGGGAATGAGAAAGTTTGTCTTGGGAATGCAGGGGCCTCTGCGCTTGTTTTTCCACCCGATGCAGTGTTTCCCTGTGCTCTCCATGACCTGGACTCCTTGCACCAGAGGGACCTTACGCTGGAAGAATCCCGCACACAGATCTCGCATTTTGTGCAAACCTACGCAACCTGCACAGTAGAGGAATAAACCAAGGTATTACACACAGGAAAAACAATCTTTCATGGCAACAAGGGTAAAAAAAAAAAAAAAAAGACAATTTGGTAATCAACTGTGCAGTTGCTTCAGATAGTCAGTGTCAGCAACCCAATCTGGTCTGATGGGTAAACGGCAAAAATGTGATATTCATCATGGCAAGAAGCACACGGTCTCCAAACACACAAGTTACCATTCTTAATTCATCTGCACTTTTCAGGTCACTGTTTTCTAAGTGGCGATCCTTGTACCTAGTGGGATGAAAAAAGCAAGGCAAATTTAATAGTGGTGAAATCTTAAACAGGGTACTAGTTAGTCAACTGTGCAGTTGCTTCAGATAGTCACAGTGTCAACAAACCAATTTGGTCTGATGGGTAAACGGCAGAAATATGAAAAATCATCATTGCAACAAGCATTGTCTTTATATATTAAAAAAAAAAAAAAAAAAAAAAAAAAAAAAAAAACCCTCACATTTACAGCAATTACAACAAGTACACATAGTAAAATTACCAGTTATTTTTCATTTGCACTTATGTTACCCTTGTCCAGTGGCAATCCTTCCGACCTGGTGGGAGGAGAAAAAGTAGGATAAATTTAATGCTGGTGAAATCTCAAATGGGATACTGAGTAACCAACTGTGCAGTTCTTCAGATAGTCAGTGTCAGCAAACCAGTTTGGTCTGATCGGTAAACGGCGGAAATGTGACAAATCATAGGAACAGCAAACATTAAAAAACATTACATTTAAAGCTATTAATGCATGCATACCCATTTTAAAAATCACCAGTTTTTAACTCATCTGCACTTCTCAGGTCACCCATTTCCAGTGGCAAATGCCATGATCCCTTCCATTGGCTGTAGCGATCATCTCCTTCGTGAAAGCGATCGGCTCCTTTGTGATTCAACAACAAAAAGGATAGATTTAATTTATAATTTAAGCTTCAGCTCTGCAGGTAAAATCTTCCAAGAAAAAAAAAAAAAAAAAAAGACAAAAGGAATAGACCATTCTAAAAATGACCACCAATTACCCATGTTGTGTTTAAGCTATTGATTTTGTGCTCCAAATAAGCAGTGCTGAGGGAGGAGCCAGTATAAAAAAAAGAAAAAAAGAAACTTACTTCCATCTCAAAAAGATGACTGATGAACTAGAGATCAAAAGGCACATGTAACACAGCTTGAGAATAGACCCTCCCACAGCGGCACAAAGGCCTGGGCAGCGCTAGTTCAACTCAAGGTCAGCACCTCCAAGTGAATCAAAGCCCTGATTACCCAATCCAGGTCACAGAAGACCATTCCCAAATCAGCCAGGCCACACAGGGGACGGCAGACCTATGCCGGACAGAGCACAGTCCTGCCGACAGCAGAGCAAATGGCAAAGGAGCAATTTATCACCAGATCTGGGACACTCGCCTGCCAAAATGATTTATAACAGTCCTCATGGGATACTTAAATCCTTTAGTATAGGCCATGATTACAACATGATTTGGCAAAATCATGTCAATTTGTGTAGAAACAGCCACCTTTACAATATTGATTGTGTGCTCCCAGAAGGAACCTAATACTTCCTTTCAAAACTTCTGCATCCACTTTGAGCTCAAGATGAAGAGTAATTGGAGTAATTTTCTCCACATGATTGCTAAAAAAAAACCTCCAATAAATCTACACAAGCAACTAAAACTATAGTGTATTTAGTTAATGTAAAACCTGCATACATTTTTAATAATTATCCCATTTCGAAAAGGAGAACTTGACAGTAAAAGTATACTTGGGCTGATCTGCTTTGCAACAGGCGACTTTTATTGAGACATACGTAATTTTATTCACCAGGTAACTTAACGTTAAAGTTAATGCAAGGATCCACATTAGGCCACTCATGAGATATAGATTCGTGCCTAACGATCCATTGATAAAATGCAATGCTTTTGCAATAAGGGGCAAATGCTTCAAATTCTAATTAATAAAGAGTAATTGTGCTTCTACCGAACGACGTTACAAGTAAGGATTATATAAACTATTCTCTGTAACGCGCGTGCTGACTAACCACGTGGCAAAGCCAGGATGCAAAAACCTCTACACGAGCCTATAACCTCATGAACAGTTCTACAAATAGCTACAGTAACACTTTAACTTCTGTTAAAATGCATCGACACAATAATTGTTTGAAGTACATTTACCTGCAACGCGTAGTACTTGTGACCAGATCCTTCCACTCTTGGGAAGAAAGGATGTGACGCATGCGTACTTCGCGTTTTAAAGGGGAACTTCCTAGTACGAGCAGCACATGCGTGTTGGGTATTACTGAAGTCTGACGTGCTACGGTGTGATAACATTTAATCGGATTGATGTGTTTAACTCTTGCATACGTTTATGACACGTTTATATTTAAAGCACTACCAACAGATTACTTTGTTTGTTGTTTATATTTAGAGCGCTCCCAACAAAGTTTTCGTTTGATGAAAATCCTTATGAAATTACAATATACAACCCATGCATTTAATCATTCAAATTGTTTGCCTCTCTCAAGCAGATTTGCCTCTCTCAAGATTAGAGTAAACATAGAGAGTAATGTAAACATTTAAATAAATAGATAAAGATAACCCATTTAGACCCATAGGCTAGATCAATAGTACGCTCTGGTATAGGCTATATAAACTTTAAATCTGAAGCCCAAACTTTAAAATGTTAATTCTCGTTAGAGGGTTTACAGTTTTAACATTATTCAGTACCTTTAACAAACTTTCAGTGCACTTCATGATTAAGAATTTTAAAGATTAAAAAAAAAAAGTTTCCATGAGAATGTTTGCATCACATGAGATATGTCAGAACTGTAGCCTAAATGAAGACAATAATTTAAAATGAATTAAAATCTTCGATATTAATAATGTTCCGTGCAAGACAAATATTTTAAACCAAGTTAATTATAACGTTCTTTTTCGGAACACATTATTTTGCACATTGTGAAGGGTTTATATTAGAAAACATCGATAATAATAACATTAATAATAAACCTGAGATCAGTGTAATAAAAAAAAAAAAAAAGATTTTATTCACTATTCACATGAAAAAGAGGAAGGAGGGAAGGGAGGAGAAAGGGGGATGATGCTATTGTTGCGATTCTGACAGACCACTTCACATGACGAATGTTAGGTTATTCACACATTTAGTGCAAATGTTGTAACAGAAAGTGCATAGCCGACAGCTCGAGCATAACAGCTCAACCCCACAAACGAATTTCAGACAGAGTACAAGTACAGAACTGCAGAAACAGAATTCTGAGCAGAAACCCAGTTAAAAAGAGCACAATTTGTTTAATATTTTAATCTTATTTACATATTGGAAATAATTAGGATATATTAATATGCACAATACTCAGTTGTCTGTATGGCACAATAATAATCATTTCAATGAATTTGGTTCATTTGCCGCGTAAGACAACCATGTTAAATTTTACAGACTACAACAAAATTACTAAAACAATAACTAAACAATATTTTTTTTAACCTTCATTCTTCATCATTACCTCCAAAAGTCTTATGTGCAAACGATCTATGTTTGAGATGATGATGAAGATGCCCCTTGATTTTCATTTGAGTTACCCAGGAACTGTCCAGTGGCACCGACATATAATCTTGAACGCATCGGCCATTTCTAAAAGAAAAAAAGCGACAAATAGAAACACTTAGTCAACTGTTTTAATGAATTGCTATGCGTAATAAAGTGGATATTTTCAAGTAGCCTTAACCTTAAACTCTCCTATTCAAAACTTTTAAGACTAAACACAAATGTTTTGCAAATTGATTAAAATTTATAAAATCTCACAATATTTTCGGCGTTAAAGTTCACTTTCATTCTAAAATATAGGCTAATTAGACTTACTTTCACAGGATGTAAGTAGCCATCTCCCTTAAGTGAGTTCAAAGCTTCAGTTTGTTTTGTGTTGTCCTCTTCCATCCCTTCTTCTTGCAAGGTTCTTGTTAAATGCGCTATGTATGTGGTTGCCAATATCAAGACGTCGAGTTTGGAGAGTTTGGTGTCCGGTGGCACCGACGGCAGTGTTCTCTGTAGCTCGAGGAACGCATGTCTGAGCGTCTGGACGCGACTCCTTTCGCGCGCTGCGTTGGCTGCTGGGGGTCTCCCTCTGCCACCGAGGCCACTAGACGGGACCACCCTGGAGCGGGACAGGGCCTCTGCGCGCCGGCTGTCCGCTGAGAGCGAGTCAGGACTGGGGCTCGAGTTAGGGCTTGATGCGGGACTGTCATCCATAACTGTCACAGAACCAATGCCATCCATACGAATCGACTGTCTTCCAACCATTGAAATCACGTTTTAACCTGGTTAAAATAATACATTTTCAAAAAACACACATAAATAAATAGCCAAACAGGCACTTTTATTCAAACATGCGAGAATGATATGTCAAAAAACAGGTTTAAGCTATAGGCACTCATTAAAAACTTCTGTAAAAATATTTTTCCTCAAGTGAGCCAGAAATCTCATGGCCAGTATGAGTCATTCAGTGTCAAAAAAAGAAATATTAGACTAATAGACGCCTACAGTGTTTATGTTTTTCATTAAATCATTTCAGCCGAGAACATAAAGTTTTAATATAACCATTTTAAGAAGAATTGTAGGTTACATTGTATAGGTCATGAGAAGTTATTAAAATGTAAAAAGCATACCTGTATTATTGTTAAAAGTGCTGTCCTATAAAACACACACTAAGGCATGAAAACCTCCAAAGCTCGGCAAAAAATCCTGTTTAAAATAATAGTCCCTTTCTCGTTGCAAAAATATATATAACCAGTCGTGGTGCTGCGCGTGAAAGGCACGGATACATGTCCGCGCACACGCACTGTCCTCACCTGAATGACTGCGTAAAGTCTCCTGAGCCTCTAATTTATCGGAGAACACAAAGAGCTGACAAGTGTTCACTCCGGTGCAATTAATCAAAAGCCTTTAAAACTCTGGCAACTCGAGCCGTTCTCCACTGTTTTCCCTTCGCATCGGTCGGTAGGAGGGCACAGTCCATTTTTCGACGCCAGAGGCAGCATTTTTCGGTCCACCCAGAGTTGCTTTGCAAACCACAACTTCTGAATATTATATGAAATATTGTTTATTCAATAAATAAATACCAATTTCCTCTTGATTGGCTTTGTTTGGTGAAAATGAATGTGGTTTTTGAGACCCAAGCATTCTATTTTTAAGCTGCCAAACAGATTCTATCAGATCATCTGCACGGTGCTCTTAACTTTAACATTTTGAAAGGGATATTGATAATATAATTTTGAGCCGCAGACATCAGCTTAATTTCCTGGGACAAAGCCAATAAATAAACTCTAAACACTGCAATCAACTGGCATGCTTGAGGAAATTCTTGTGAGACTCCTAAATTAATCATTCTGTTTTACGCAAACGGAGATGTGGGAGAATTAATGAATGGGATTATTCATAACATGTATATCTGAGACTGTTCTTAATAAACATTGTTTTTGTAAGGATGAAGTAACAGTATTGCCCCCAGGCCAATAATTATGAAGCAAAGCAAATGAGGTTAAGTAAGCTTCTCTGTCTAATTCCTCTACATCTTTCAGAGGTTATACCCTGGTGTAGATATTAGTATATTATACGCAGGAATTGCATTCATGCATTACTGTACTCAGCGCGTATAAACGTTATTATAGAATCAGTTTTATATTTCATATGAATACCGTTCCAGTCTAGAACGCAGTGTCCATGATGTTGATAAACTTGCTGGATAATGTGCAAGTTGAAACGAAGCCTCAGTAAAAAGAAAAAAAGGTATGAATCTAAATGATAAATGTGCAATTATAATGTAAACTACTTTTTTAAAAAACGTATTTAATTAGCAATTTCATGCTTTAAATTAGATCATTTCATTAGCTAATTTAAAGCATGATACTATATATGCATGTATGTGTGTGTATTTATATATACACACATACATTATGTAAACAAAAAACTTTTATTTTGGATGGATTGATCGATTTGACAGCCCTACTCATCACAAGTTAGCGATGCTATTTCTCACCTAGAATTTTGCAGGCAGTTATTAGTCTGTCCCTGTATTTAGGTTTGTGACACGCAGGATTTCTATTCAGATCCAGTAGCCGCAGTTGAGACCACTGGCTGAACACTGTCTCTAATTCCTGAAAGCATGAATAAAGGCATAACATTTTACTTTTAATCAGTATAAAATAAAATAATTAGTAGACACAGTAAATGACTATCATCTTCTCCAAACTTTCCAAAAAAGTTGTTGCATGCTGGAAAAATCCTGCAACACTAAAGAGATTTTGCAGATTTAACAGAAGATGTGCATGGTTAAAAATGATCAGGGCATTATATTTAAGACAAAGAAGCCACGAGCTTAAAAAACAAAAAGATTCAGAGGGTAAAAAGTATAAACAAGACATCAGCTTGTTTTAATAAATACTGTCACTCGGACTGCGTGACTAACAAGTTCCCCTGGGCAGTAGTCCTCAAGCATGTTGCCTGCAGTGTATGTTTATCTAAGGACTGAGACTCCTAAATTAATCACTCTGTTTGCCGCAAACGGAGATGTGGGAGAATTAATGAATGGGATTATTCATAACATGTATATCTGAGACTGTTCTTAATAAACATTGTTTTTGTAAGGATGAAGTAACAGTATTGCCCCCAGGCCAATAATTATGAAGCAAAGCAAATGAGGTTAAGTAAGCTTCTCTGTCTAATTACTCTACATCTTTCAGAGGTTATACCCTGGTGTAGATATTAGTATATTATACGCAGGAATTGCATTCATGCATTACTGTACTCAGCGCGTATAAACGTTATTATAGAATCAGTTTTATATTTCATATGAATACCGTTCCAGTCTAGAACGCAGTGTCCATGATGTTGATAAACTTGCTGGATAATGTGCAAGTTGAAACGAAGCCTCAGTAAAAAGAAAAAAAGGTATGAATCTAAATGATAAATGTGCAATTATAATGTAAACTACTTTTTTAAAAAACGTATTTAATTAGCAATTTCATGCTTTAAATTAGATCATTTCATTAGCTAATTTAAAGCATGATACAGTGAGATTGGAGCATTCATTTGTTGAAGCACTCCAACAGAGAAATATAAAAAATATAAAAAAAATAAAAACATGAAAAATACCCAAAACAATCAAAAAGTATGTTTGATGATGTAATTGCCAAATAACTAAAAGCATAATCAAATCAAAAAAAAAAAAAAAGTAAACTACATATGTAGCACAGTCTGCAATTTCAGACATTTTCAATGACACATAAAATCTCGTTTGAGATTTTGCTCTTACCTAATGTAACCAAAAAAAATTTAATCTATTCCATATTTTTATTATACTGAATGAATAATATCACCTAATGTTCTTTACATCATTTAATCTTTACATCCTAAAAAATAATGTACAAAACATGATGGAATTAAAAAATACTTTTCAGCATCTTGCAAAGTAAATTTATTAAAAACAAACACACAGACAAATATTTAAGAAATACAATTTCAGAATTTCAAACAGAATATGAAAATGCAAAATAGGCAGTGTAAAAGAGAGTGCATTCTTACACAATGGAGAAGCTGCTCAGAAATTCACATTTTATAAAAGTGTCAGCGCTTTACTGAACGTTTTCCAGAAAAGTCCTAACACACAGACTTTCAGAGTCTGCCAGTCCTCACTGGAATATATATCCCTCTTGACCTGTGAACACACCAGAACAATCATGAATTAAATTAAATAAATTAAATCAAATGCTGTAAATTACCACAAAAGTACCCCACAATATTTGTTGACTTTCATGCTTTTGTGCTTTGTATTAATAGTAATAAACAGCCTAGAACATAATAAAATGCTGGCACACATGCTTTAAAAAAAGCTTCTGTAAATTATGACTAAATATCCTTCTGTTACTGGACCCCTATAATAACATTAACAGCTAACTAGGGCTTTAAACAACTGTCATTCAGCATTATCATTCCTATTACTCACACATTAGTGCCCATGCTCGTTGCAGTTTTTTCTTATAAGTACAGAAACATTCAGTTCATATTTATTGTATACATCAACAAATAATTTCTGCATTTCAGAGGCCACACACTGGTAAATCAACTGAAATGATAACTATAGGATTAACACGTTTAGGACATCAGACATCAAAAGGGTATGATTTGTGCAGTACAACTGTAGATGATGTCACATTACACAGCACAGCACAGCACAGAACTATGGTTAACCTCAGGCCAGTCTAAAGGAGAAAGCTGTTTATTTGCATGGGTGGGAAAAATAAGACTCATACAACTTGACAAATAGCAGGCATTTATCCATCATGTCTGAAGGCAACATGCAACCTTACTCTGATATCATTTATCTCAGAATTTATTTCCTTTTTTTAATATAAGATGAGTTGTAAATATTTGATAAAAATAATAAAAAATAGAATATAAAAATATAAATAATATTTTTTCATTGGCTGCAGATTATGTAAAGAATAAGGGAGTCTTGTTAATAGCACAGACATTTTTAATTGTTCATACCTTCTTCCTCTGCTGTCTCCTTGTACTTGATCTGCCCGAAATATAACGCCAGGCTTCCCATATTCTGACGGCTTACTCAGAGAGCTGCTGCGGTCATGGGCAAAGGGATGTTGGGGGCCCACGCGAAAATCAGCTACAGCAAAACACGGGTTAGTCACACATTGCCATAAAACTGACACAAGGGATATGCAAGGCTTACTTAACCACATACTGATGATATACAACGGCAAAATGGAGAAATGTGTTAAAAGCAAGAAAATCTTGTGGATATCATAAATGACTGGAAAATTAGAGAACAAAATGAAAGTGACACTGCAGTGCACTCAGCACAGAAATTCAGTAAATTAAATAACAGTGACATGTTAAGGCACTATTTTTCATAGTATGTAAAGTCATACTTCAATAATATATTTGACATAATTCATTGTCAGTGATTCATTCATGGAAATAATTGTAAATAACTTTGAAAAAAATTGAAAAAAATTGCAGCAAATATACATACTTGTAAGTTGATTTGTGATTTGTTCTTTGATGTCTTCTCCATCCTCTAATTTCTTCTTTGCGTCTTTAGAGGCTTTCCAGTTGATTAGAAACTGCCTAGACAGTTCATTTATTTGTTTTCCATCAAGATCCTCTAAATACCAAGAAAAACATACCGTTTCTGTGTATCATTTCACTAAATAATTATAGAAAATTCATAAACAGTACAAAATAACTGTTATTGAAATAACTGTAATTAAAATGCCAAATATCATTGAAATGTTATTAAAAATGATAAATAAAATAAATACATAAAATAATAAAATAAATTCTAAGAATAATAAATAATTAAATTACATAATGAAGGCCAAAAACGCCATTCATGATTTATTCAGAAGGTCAGTGATTCTTTCAACATAAATAACGTTAAATGACTCCATACTAGGGCTGTCAAATCAATTAATCACATGTATGTTTATCTAAGGACACATTAATCCAGGCTGGAAATATGAATACTCTCTGGACACGTTCTGATTGTTCATTGCCTTCCTGTCTCAACTAAAGTGCTTCCACTTTTCAGTCCGCGTGCAATCAGCTCTAGCGGGACCCCAGCGAGCCGCGCGCTCTCAGGCTTTGATAAATGATTGTGTCAGGTCTGTCACTCTGAGGGCTTGGCTGGGAACTGCCCAGCGCCAAATTGCCCTCCCATGCGCGAGAGTGCTGAATGCACTCCTGACTGGGCTCTTTCCAGCCCCATACTGGGTTAATGATGGCCAGTTATGAACCTGTATTTGACCAGCGCTTCGATCCCTATCTGCACTGTCTGGCCGTGCGCCACTAACAGCCTCTGCAGTACCCATTTGTCACTCGGCTGACTGCCTGTCATAATCTATTTTAAAAATCCATAATGCTTCTTCTGGAATTGGACCAAACTGTGTAAGGGAGGAATTGATCCTTTGGGTGCTGTCGTCACTGAATCAATAGTGGCAAAGGGGTTGTATAAATTAAAGGAGATATCTGCTAAACATGAAAGCTTCCTCTGACACATGGATCACTATTATCGGTGGCAGTTGCTGAAAGGATTGTCTTTTGAGCTGTTGGACAAAGTTACCAAGCTGCTTTTCTACAGAGGCATTCGGAAAGTGCTCCTTCACCATTTTTTAGTCACTGAATGTGTGATATCAATAGGCTGGAAAATCCCTTTTCCAGAAAAGGTTACTTTTCAGCTTTAGTTTCACTAAATGTTTGGCTCAAATGGGTTTTAAGGGGCACTCAGTGTATTTCAGAGGAAAATCAGTTCACTAAGGAAAGAGGAAAACTTGTGCTTGTTTAAATTGTCAGCAGAAGCTGTCCCTGGAGACCGGCCCGCTGATTTGTTGAATAATTCTGACCCTGTGCAAGTCTGGAGACTGCTGGAAGGATTTGTAGGATTAGGTTTTGCACTGCTCTGCCTCTATAATTTCACACTTCATAGGAACATACAACTTTGTCATGTCTAAACAGAACAAAAATTCTTTATAAGTATATTTTTTATGGAAAAAAAATCATATTTACCTGTATGTCCTGTAGCTGGTTATCGGTAGCGTAAAGATGGGTCAGTTTTCGGAGAGGGGCCAAGTCCCATATTTCATCAATGTTATTTTTGCTGATATTTAGAATGCACAGAGTTTCCTGAAAGAATTCAATATTAATATAAATAATAATGCACTTTAAATTTAAAACCAGTCCCACTTCTGGTGAGCCAATGAAGATTTCACTGTGTTCATAAAAGGAGAGCATTTAGGAATCTTTTGGCAGGGACAAAATTGGGTGCACTTACACTTGCAATTTCATTAATTATCAAAATAAACAAAATTCCCAACTTTTCGGTTTGTTTTCCCATAGCCTGGGCGGCAAACACTCCCTGTTGGATCTGTCAGACAAGGAGGCAGCCACAGAGACCTCTTTTACCCTCATCAAATTTTGCACAGAACTGCTTTGATACACATCTTGGTCCATGAGTCCTACGTCTCTCATCTGATTCTGACAGCAAACTCACAGGACATAGTGCTATATCAATCTAAATATAAAGTGCACTAGATTGTAGATACCATGAAACACCCTCTGTAAGGCTTTTCACTGAGGTGAATGTTAAAGCAATGAGCTACTCACAGAGAGGCTAGAAATGGAACGGGGGTCAAAGACCAGCTTTTCTCCACGGGGTAGTTTCTGACCTTCCACATGCAGCTCCTTCAGGCTTTTCAGCTCATCTAATCCCTCCACCACAGTGATGCTGTTACCTCCCAAGAAACTCAAATATAGAAACATTAGTAGTTAATCGTAGTTAACGGTAACATTCATGGCCTTTTAGTAGTGCTGTATGTATATTTTCAATGGAAAATATTAACGTCACATCAGTTCAAATTTCAATGCAAGCAGGAATTAATTAATATGCTTGTACTATCATATACTTACAGTTTGGAGAGCTTATGTAGAGATGAGAGGTTCTCTATGCAAGAGATATTGTTATTTTGCATATATAAGTGTGTAAGGTTTGAGGCGAATCCCAAATTGCAGATTTGTGATATTTGGTTGTCATATAGATACAGGACTGTGAGGTTTCTGCACATTGATAGATCACCCTACAAGTTAAAAAGGTGAAAAAATAATCAGTAAACAAACTACTCAAAAGTTTGGAATCAATTTTTTATTTTTGAAGTTTTTAAAATTAGTCTCTTATGCTCACCAATGCAGCGTTTGTTTGATCAAAAATACAGTAAAAATTTAATATTGTGAAATATTATTACAATTTAAAATAACTTTTTTCTGTTTTAATATATTTTGAAATGTAATTTATTCCTGTGATGGCAAAGCTGAATTTTCAGCAGCCATTTCCCTAGTCTTTAGTGTCACATGATCCTATAGAAATCATTCTTATTCATTAGAAGTCCTTTATAAATCATTCTTGATCAAATTCTTATTATTATCAATGTTGAAAACAGTTGTGCTGCATAATATTTTTTTGTGGAAACTGTGATACATTTTAAAGAGTTTTCGATTAATATAATTTTTACCGTCACTATTGATCTAATGCATCTATGCTGGATAAAAGCATTAAATTCTTAAAAAAAAATGTTTGAATTGTACTGTAATATTTAATGGAAACTAGAATATTAAATGGAATTTTAATATGTTTGAACTAAAAACTTACAATGTCCTCTATACTTTTGTTTGAGAAGTTGAGATGGGTCAGTTTCTTCAGATACTGCTGGAGAGATTCGCTTCTGCAGGCTTTTGAGAAACTGCTTGATTTTGCGATCAGATGCACTGTTAGACGGACCATAATGACTGAGTGTGCAAAAATATCACAGGATAGATTTCTCTTCTGCAGCACAGCATGTCAAGGGAAGAGATAGATTTATGAGAAAACACTAAAACAATGCATATAAAAACATAATCGAATACATTTTAAAGCACTGACCTCTAAATATGTTTCTGTATAGATTTGAATCAGAATGTCTTTAAATGGGGTTTAAATGTATAATTGATGGGGTGAACATTATACTTTGATGATATGTACTTTAGAGACAGCATAGTCAATTGACCCTTAAACCTTTGTCAAAATACATATTTTTGAATAGTGGGAACAAGGCCAAAGGTGAAATAGACATGTGACCTGACCTAAGATTATCATAAAGGGAGATCTCTTCTCCCAAGAGCCAAAAAAAGAAAAAAAAGAACAACAACTGCAATGATAAAAAACAACACAATCCAGTCATCTTGAGATTTCCATTGTCTGTAAGCTTGACCCTGCACATCCATATATAAAACCAATCCAGACCTACAGTAACACTTTACCAGAAAGGCCTCCTTGGAAAGACCTTGGATGATATTTTACTCCATATGCTTTCTATATTGTCTTGTCAACCACAGACATTGAACACTAGGACAGAAGTAAAGGGAATACATACATCAACACATGACAGCAGGTCGGTTTTACACTTGATCTCAGAGCAGCAGACTATGGGGAGATGACATGGAGAGCCTCTTAAAATCAATAACTTTCTGTGGTTAAACTCCAGGGAACTGGATGGAGACAGCAGTTTGCCAATCATTATAATATATTGCAGTATATTTAACATTTTATTACTAATAAACAAAGACAAGCAAATTAGACTACTGTTGGCATACAATTATAACCGCGAACAGAAAAGGCACCTATGAACAGCTGATTCAGTAGAAATAAAATGAAACAGCACTGCATTTTACCTTAATCCACAAATGCTATACATTAACTGTCGTCAGCTATGAACGCAAAGTGTTTTGCTGCTGTAAAGTATTTTCTCTTCTCGGCTTTGTTTAGGAAGTGAGAGCTGATGTTGCCATGGCGACGAGACGCGAGCGCAAGGTCAGCTTGCACGCGCCAGAGTTGTTTCGAAGGAGCGCAGTTCAAAATGCGGCATGACTCATTCTCAACACAAATGGTAAAACGTTTTTAATTGTTTTAAATTCCGTGTGAATTTTAGAACACGATATTCATCGCGTGTATTGTTGTGTAAAAAATGTGAATGTTTTTACTGATGTTGTTAAAAGTAATTTGTTCTACTAGCTACTAAGCTTTAGTAGCCTAATTAATTCAAGCTAGCGCAGGTGTTTGTTACCAATGATTTAAGGAATTAAAGTTTAAAATGAATTAAAGGAATAACACAAATAAATGACCGAAGTCTATGAATTTTTTATTTTTTTTTACACATGCCTGTAGATGTTATTTGGCTGAAAAAAAAAGAGACAGAGAGAGAAGCCAAACGTATTTTTTAAATTATTATTATTATTATTAATAAAATAATAATAATAATTCATTATTATTAATTAATTAATTAATGTTTTTTTATTTTAAAGGAATAGTTCATGCAAAAATGAAAATTTTCTAAAAATGTACTTGTTCTCACATCGAATTTGTGGATTTTGGCCTTAAGTTGTAGCAAGAGAGCGTTTTTGCTCTTGTGATGACGACCAGGTTTTTATTTATTTATTAAATAAATCATAAGTTCAGACAAAAAAGTTTATTCACCATCAGGTCATCCAAAATGTGGATGATTTGGAGACATTTAGCATAACATCACTTGCTCACATATGGATCCTCTGCAGTGAACGGGTGCCGTCAGAATGAAACAGCTGATAAAAACATCACAATAATCCACATGACTTCAGTCCATCAATTAACATTTTGTGGAAAGCTGCATGTTTTTTTACAAACAAATCCATGTTTTTTTTTTTGCTTTTATTAGGACAGGACAGTATGTAGACAGGAAGCGAAGTGGGACAGAGAGAAAGAGGGGGTCGGGATTGGGAAAGGTCCGTGAGCCAGGACTCGAACTCGGGATGCCCGAAGCGCAATGACGCTATATGTCGGCGCACTGCCCACAAGGTTATTGGCGCCGACTTAAAAAATTATAAAATTAAGAGATTAAATTACACACTTAAAAAAAAAACTACATGTGTGCAGAGGATTGAAGAGAGAAAAACATTTGTTGGAAAAGAAAAACTAGGATTAAACCAAAACCTCGGGCCACCCTTAAGGCTTAAAGTAGACAAGACCCTTAAGCATTTACATGTTGAAATCAGAAACCATGTTTATCAACTTCAGCTGGTAGAACCACACATTTTCCCAAATTTGCAAGCTCAAACTGATGTTTGAGATCAGTTCTAGAGAAGAGCGGTGGCTTCAGTGGACTGAGTTACTGCGGTGACCCATGTATTGTTATATATGGTGGAGGAATGTGCTTCCTGAGACTGAGTGACTTGCCTCCATTTATGTATGTAGAATACTTGGCAGAAAGGAAATGTTGCTTTGGTTGGTTTAGGGACGCAGAGGGGGAGTTCTGCCCTTTTCAGACTCTCCTCTGGGGCATTGAACACGTTTCACCTTCTCACTACCATGCTTGTTGAGATTATTATGGTCCAAAGAAAACATCAGTGCTACCAAATATCTTGAGGTCATTGGTCCCAAAGGCTAGTTTAACATTAGCCTTGTGATCAATAGCCACTGCCCATTATTTGTGCTCATCACTCAGATATATTCACTTAATCACATATCCGTCATAGTTCATAATACTTATTTTAAAACATTTTCTCTGGGTTCAGCAAATGAAGTGGAATTCCAAGTAATTTTAGAAGACTCTTGCTAATAGAAAACATACTTTAAAATTGAGTTAATGGATTTCACTGATGTTAGTTCACTCATGGAAAACATAATATACTTAGGCTTAGTTATATCTCATCTCATTTATACTCTTCTGCTTTTTCTTCTTTACTGCAAGTATTAAAAAATGCTCATCTGGTGATGATTATAAGCTTCATTTGTAATTCCAATGGGTGAAATACAGAACATATGCATAGGATTTTTTTTTGATGACTATGATTTTAAAGGAATAGTTCATGCAAAAATAAAATTTTTCTAAAAATGTACTTGCTCTCAGGCCATCAAATTTGTGGATGTTGGCCTGAAGTTGTAGCGAGAATGTTTTTGCTCGTGATGACGACCAGTGTTTTATTACGTAGAGGATTAAATTAATTAAAGGAATAGTTCAGCCAGAAATTTAGCATAACATCACTTGCTCACCAGTGGATCCTCTCCAGTGAATGGGTGCCGTCAGAATTAAAGTCCAAACATCTGATAAAAACATCACAGTAATCAACAAATAATCCACATGACTCCAGTCCATCAATTTGTGGAAATATGCATGTTTTTAGCAAACAAATCCATCATTAAGACTTTTTAACCGTTTCTTCTTTCCACATTATTACTTTTTAGTCTGGAGTGGATTACTTGTGGATTATTGTGATGTTTTTATCAGCTGTTTGAACGCTCATTCTGACGGCACCCATTCACTTAAGATGATCCACTGGTGAACAAGTGATGTAATGCTAAATTTCTCCAAATCTGTTTCTTATAAACAAACAAGCTACATTTTGGATGGCCTGATGATGATTACATTTTCAATAAATTTACATTTTTGGCTGAACTATTTCTTTAATTAATTCAATACTCTACTGAAATAAAACATTGGACGGCATCACAGGAGCAAAAAACACACTCTCGCTACAACTTCAGGCCAAAATCCACAAATTGCACAGTGCATAATTGAACAGACTCTGATGCTTTCCGGAACATAACAGAAAATCTTAAAATGAGCACAATGATGTGATGTACAAAAACGTGCATGAATACGAAGTCAGCACTGTTGTCTGTAAGAAAATGCAGGCACGTGTGTGTGCATGAAACCACATGGGCGTTGAGTGTCTGCAGCGATAAAGAGCAGACACGCAGGGCTGAATAGACTCCACTGTATCGAGCTCCTGTTTCTGTGATGCATCAGTGACAGGCCACAGCGGAACGCTCAGAATCCTGAAGGATTGTGTACAACGCAGAGACAACCTGCACAGGGTCGTCCTGACAGATGCGCTGCGGCCATGCCAAGCTGTGTTTATCTTTGGGCCGTTGAGTTTGTTATTCCATTATGTAATGCTATGACTGGCAAATATGAAAATGACCTCTTGTGGAGCACTGTGGTTTTTGTTAAATATAATGTTGAATACCGCTGTTACAGCTCCCGACACAAGCTGTGGGAAATGGGAATGGTGCTGTACCATGTTACACACTGAACCCAGAGGAGAATATATTTCAAATGTCTAAGCACTAAGGAAAACTCATTTGTCTTGATCTAAAGGACAGCTTTGACGATGAGCTGGGCGAGTTACAATTTCAGACAAGACTTTAGCAGTAAATGTGATGAAATGAATTTAGTAAATTAAGATGAAGCAAAAAACACCTAATGTCTGTCAACGAATCAACCCGAACAGCATTTATTTCTTTGTTTAAACAAATGATAAATGACGCAAACATTCCTACAGGAGAATTTCTTTGAATCTTTCAAAGCAGAATCGTAACGAAAGAACACATAACTAAGCAAACACTGCATGTGAAGTCATCTAACTTCAGTTCCTTCCAAGTTTAGTTGGAAGATGTGTTCACTTGATTGAAGAGTTTATCTTTGATAACCTGGGACATCAAACCATGAATCGCTTCAATGGTTGTCTTGCAGCTGAAAAGCAAAGAAAGATGTTTGATCATGTATTTATCAAAATGTGTTAAACTTTATTTAAAAAAATTATGTCATTGGTTGCAATAAGTACAAGTCAAAAAGTAGGGACCCTTGCACCTAAACAGACACTCAAGTCACCTATAAGCTCACACAAAATAAATGTGAAAAAAAGTAAATAAATAATCTTTTATGAAGAAAAATAACAAAAGAAAAAAGAAAAGAATAAATGTGATGTCAGTATTCTATTCTCAATACACAAAAGAAACTAATTTAGCCCCAATCAATCAAATAAACAAAATAAACCCGTAAATAAATAATCTTTTATAAAAGAAAAATAAAGATGGGGAAAGCAAAAAAGAAAAAAAGGTAATCTATTTTTATCCAGTTTTATGCATTTGTTATACATTATAGATTTTATATTCATTCCAAAAATCTAAAACAACAATAACGTTGTTTACAATTTAATTTTTTAAAAAGCATAAAAAAGGAAAACAACATATGACCTCACACAAAATAAATATGAATAAATGTGAAATCAATATTATTTTCAATACTCAAATGATACAAATTTACCCTCCTGCCCCATAAATAAACATATATAAAAAAAAAAAAAACGACTTACAGCTTTATTTAGAACTGTGATTGTGTATAAAGCACTTTAAATGACATTTGAAAATAAATAAACTTGTCTTGGCTTGTTTGTTTATTTCCACTTATTTATACTATCATAATTCACAATATATTATGAAAGGAAAAATTGAATACTGAATTGATAGGGATCGTATTACCTGTCACGTGTTGCCTTTGCAAGTTTGTCCTCAGATTTCCTATCATGAGTATCTAAGCCCAACATGAAACTGCCTCGTCCCAGCTGAGCTTCTGCCTGCTCGAGCTTCTCAGACAAGTCAAACACCTGTCCAGTGGTGTAGTCTGCATTCTGAAGGAACAAGAGCCATTAACGCCACCATTCCACTTGCTCTAGGTTAATGCACAATTTCACAACAATACTTAAACCTTCACAGCATGCATTCCACTGATGCTCAATAAGCAGGTTGTTGAATTGTTTGCTGAAGCCTCCTGAATGAGGTCTCAAACGTTTGCAGATGGTGAGGTTGTACACTGCCCAGACGAGGATTCATAATAAAGACAGACTCAGTGACTTAAGGTCTCGGTCTGTGGTGACAACGTAATCACTAACAACACTTC